TTGTCACATGCACAGAAAGTTATATACAATATTACAGTGTTGCATATCAGTTTCTTACAAGGGGTGGGTTAATAGGAATATTGAAGTCCTCGAGAATTAGGGATGGTATGTTAGAGGAGAGGAAGTAGGGTAGCTAGGCAGCAAAGTGGTCAAGGAAGAGGAGTATGTATATATGTCAGTATGTATGTCTGTATGTATGTATGTCAGTACAGTGGGACCTCGTTTTACAAACGCCTCGGTTAAAATAAATTTCGGTTTACAAATGAAAATCCATTGATGGCCCTGATCTGGGTGACCAACATATCCATAAATCACCCAGATCAATGGGTTTGTTTTTGCGTGGAAGTCAACTTTTGACTGACCACACACGAGGCTCCTGCCCAAAATAGTTGCATAAGAAAATTGGTAGCGGTCGGTCAATTTCGGTAGTATAAAAATGAACAAACTACCAAATGCAGTCAATAGTTATAGCGTGCAGCTTGTTCATCTCATCCATACGAACGATTCAACCGAACACTGCTCTTCTAGGATGTAAAGTACCGAATGCAGGTGGGAATGTAAGTTCAGCGGTGTTCGAGAGGTCGAGTGTCCGATTTTAGTTCCATGCACTCAACGACCAAACACTGCTACCAGCATTCGTGCATACAAATGGTGGACACCCAGACGAATATTAGAACACTGAGGTGAGAATCATTACAAGGTGTCAATAGGGTTTAACAAGCTCCCGGGTGGTCTTTAGTTTGTGAGTTTGTTAGTTTCCCTAACAGTCCAGGGAAACCACACGATACAAGTACTTTTTACATGGCCCTTAGTCTTTGGGCAGGAGGCTAGCCAGCAAGCTCCCCCAGGAACACATGGCAGAGGCATTTATGCCACAGTATGTATGTCAGTATGTCTGTATGTCAGTGTCTGTATGTATATATATGTCGGTATGTATGTGTGTGTCTGTATGTCCTTATGCGTGTGTGTGTCTGTATATCTGTATATGTGTGTATGTCTCAGTATGTGTGTGTCAGTATGTATGCCTATATGTGTATGTCTGTTTGTCACGTATTCATCCGCTTATAGAAATGTGGTTAATGACATTTACTGTCCACACAGGAAAAGTTGTGCCGAGCAGCAACCTAATCCACAGAAGGGTTAATGCTGAGCAGCAATTATGCAAATGAAACCTGGTAACTGACTTTGGGATCAAAGGCCGGTTACAGCCTATCAGAACTAAAGGAGGGGTATTTAGGCCCAGTTCTCAGCCTGCTCAGTGCCCTGTCGTGGTTTCCCTTGTGGTTGTCTGAGAGCGCGTTCCTGTTTATAGTTTTCTACCTGGTTTTTGACTTTGGCTTTGTTTATTGACTTCTCTATATTCTGGTATCCTGACTCCTGGCTTTCCTCATCGCTGTGTCCCTTTCTGTGTTCCCTGACCTCGGCTAGTATTTTTGACTATTCTTTGTACGTTAAATCTGGCCATTCTAACCACTGGTAATACGTTACTTTTGTCATCCGTGCTGTACAGTTCTACGTGCTGGATC